CAGCCTTTTTTTTTTACGTGTTTGATAACAGAGAATATAATTAGGTCATTCTTCGATTCATATCTTTTCACCAATGAATTGATAATACTATATCAACAATTGTATTAAGTACATGTTTATAGTCCGTTAATTATCATACAATTTGTTCTTAAAGAAAAAATTAATCATTCTAGCAGCTGTGTGCGTGTATTATTAAATGACGGAATTTTCAATCCCTGGCCTGCTCTTGTGTACACTTTGTAAACTGTAGGGTATGTGTGGCAAAACGAGAACTGCATGGGTTGGAGATTCGGGTTCGTGTTGAAGTTCAGCATACCATTATATATAGAACTTGAATAATGTAAGTAATTTCTGCGACAAATATATTAGTATATTTCAGTTATTTTCAGTTTAGAATTTTCCGACCCGGTCCTGATTTTCCCAACCCGGCCATTTTAAACACAAGTTGTTGCAGATGCAAATGTTAGAACAAACTATATAAAGTTCAACAGGGATTGTATAATTTTTATTAATCAGAATTCGTATTTATATGATCTAATTAAGAAAAGAAAAGTTTTGTCTGACACCGTAACTTCTCGGCAAAACAAAACGTGTTTCTCCGAGCTCGCTGGATGCGTGTGACAGCTCCATTGCACGTGTGTAGACCAAGGCTACAGGTACATGTAGGCCTATGTGTACTGTTTGTTAGGAGACTGGGTGACCGTAATGCTATGGAATCACGATATTTACAACAGTTCCATAATTAGACAGTGCAGTTTTTTTTTATTAGCGTCATTATAAACACTGTTAAACATATTAAATCTAACAGTCGAATATCTTTGGATATGGGGTAACCCATATCTATTCTTGTTATTTTTATTCTTTGTTTGATGATGTTGCGTAAGCAAGAAATCAGGCGAAAGTAGTGCCATTGACCCAAATACTTCTGAAGCGGTGAATTGTATTCATACGCAAGAACGTTTGATCATGTGACCGACTTCATGTCATGGAAAATTGAATATCATTTCGTTAGTATATGTCATATAAGGAAAGACATTAGCAAATGTAAATATAAATATATATAAAATTTAAGTTGAAAAATAAGGTGGCAACAAACAATAGGCCACGAGACAAAAGAAATTATCAAAATACATCCCAAAGTAAAGTTTAACCTAAGGGACGGTTGTACGGGGTGGTGGAGGGTATGTTTTTCTACAAAAAATGGTGTGTACAAACACTTGCAGCATCCACCAGCGATAACAATCACGTGATATTTCCGACGTTAGCTCACGACTAATCAACGCAAAGCCCCAAAACCTTAGACTATGCATTACATAACGTCCTAGCTCTGAAACCTGATATATACATGAAATATACTACAATCACTACATTCTAACCACAGAAATGGGAAATTACATATGTATGCATAAAACATATTATTATCAATAATATTACATCATCTTATTCACTCACATTCACAGTTGAAGTCTAAGTGGATATTTTTCTTTAATTGTCTGAGATTTGTCAAGTTCATGCTCATTTTTTAAAAATAAATACGAAGTGGAAATTTCAACACCAAGGCACTCCTCAACATGGAACGAAAACCGACCAATCACCATGCTGAGTGTGGTGATAAAAGTAAACATTTGGAAAATGAAGATACAGGAGGCGATCAGACTAAATCTGGTGACCAGTAGGTGTCTGTAGTAACTCCTTTAATAATCTCATGTTTATCATGGACAACGATGATGACAAATGCACCCAGTTTGACAACAAAGGCAAACCTCTCTTACTTTTCGTATCTCTTTGTTATTTTCAATCAGGCCGAAAAACTGAGATTCAGATACAAAAGATATACCCGGTACTCATCCTCAAAAGAAGAAACCATTTGATCCATGGGAAATCAGCACAGAGAGTCAGAGTCACATCCTTACAGGTGCTTATAACAATGACTGTGTCCACATCATAGACCAGGATGGACAGTTCCTCCGTTGCTTAAAATGTGGACTGTGTTTAAACTGGGGATTTGAACAGATACAAATGACAATCTGTTGAAAAAGTCAAGCAAATAGCATAAAATTTATGTTTATCTATGCAGTAAAAATTCACCACTATATTAACACCAGTGTAAATGACAGTAAAAAGTCAAAATGACTTGGTTCTGTATAACCATCATGTTAAAAAAATAAATATTATTCAAATTGGTGTAAGCTTTGGATTACTCTCTATATTTATGAATGACCTATTCATTGATAAATCGGCTACTGCTTATAGTTAAAAAAATTATTTTCATTATTTCTTTTCAAAGAATTTTAAATAAAAAATACCTTTGTTGTAGAACGAGCATGAATATTGAGAATATGAGGGAAAATGTGATAATGTTATAAGTAAGAAGATTAGAAAGACTTGGTAAAATAAGTCAAATAGATTGTAAGCACAGCGTAAACACAAACAGAATTCATCATTTATTAACAAAAAAATCGTGGTCTTGTAGTGGGATACAATTTGTTAGCACAGATTCTGCATATTTTAGATAGAAAACTTAAATTCCATCCTATAATAAATAACATAACTTCTGTCTTCATAACGTTCAGCCAATATGAATAAATTTAATGATCATATTTGTATAAATAAACCAATTTTTGTCTGTTACATAATAAACGTTGTTGACTTGCTGTCTTTACACGCAATGATTTGTAATGTTTGACAGTTTAAGGTGATGGGAAGATTAATTACTGTATAGAATAGGGGTCAGGGGACGCTAAATTCAGGCGTTTAATGTTCTCTTTTTAAGACAAAAAATACAGAAATATAATACAAGTAATATTTCAAACCATAAATATTTATTATAATTAATTTATATATGCTTTTTATCGCAAGAATATCTTTCACAGCGACCGAAATTATATATCTTAATATTAATAAGTTCAAGGGATGACATAAAACATTTTTTTTTTTTTACAATTTACTTATTTTTAAAAAGTGATTATTTTTTTCAATGCAGTAAATTTAATATCAAAAATATTTTAATAAAACAAGAAATAAAAGATGAATTAAAAAAAACGAATATAAAAAGTATATTAAAGATAAATAATTTGGTCATTGATTAATAAATAGTTGTAAATGGAAGGAAATTAAAATAAATAACTAAATTCGCATTAGTTAATTACATGTATATTAAAAAAAAGATTCGAGCCTCTGTTTCTGGTTAAGTTTTTTATGTCCTATTTTTCCTATATCAAACTTCTAAAGTTAGCTCAAGTTAGTTTGAAAGTAAACATTTAGATAGATATCACAAGATTTTGAATATACACAATATATTGAACATACATCTCAAGATTTTGAAAATACATCACAAGATTTAGAACATACATCGCAAGATTATCGAATAAAGCAACGTTTCACACGCCAAACTGCTCTCTTTGGGGAAAATGCAAAATTAATGTTTATAATTAACGAGGAATTTATCAGGAAATCCTACTAGAAGTCCTTCGAAACACTTTTCGAAAATCCTGGCAAACTTTTTTCAATACCAACTTCTTTCAGTAACAATTTATTTTTACATCCATTACTACATTTCCCTAATATCGACTTCCTGTAGTATCAAGTGGGGGCCAGCCAGCCTTTCAATGAGCATTTTAATAGTAAAATTAATGTTGGGAAAAAAGTGAGGGGGCCAGCCCCCCCCCCCCACCCCAACTGGCCCCCTGTTGCTACATGCCTGTTATAGGTTAGTCGTGCAAGTAAAACTAACTCGTACTTTACTTTTTCTTGTAATTTTCTTTAAAATGGATACATGTATATAGGATGTTGGTTTATCATGTTTTTCATTAAAAAAAATCTAATCGGAATCACATCTCGGAATACTTGTCACATTCTGAATTTCTTTTTTCTTTTCATCGTTTGATTGACACGTCTAACAAATAATGTAAAAAATTTCATTAAAAAAATCTATGACACTTTGTATCATCAAAAATTTTCCATTGCCTCAGTTCATTTTTCATCGTTGAGGATTTACTAATTGCCATTTTGCCAGTTAGAAGTATCAAAACAAAGACTTAATGAACGTTGGATAGTTTGTTTTCGAAGTGAAATAGTATAATATATTTTTCTAAAACCAACACGAAGTGATTGATTTTTTTTTAGATTATGTACATTTGTATTGGTACAATCATTTTTTCCCTTTTCAACAAAAGTCAAATGGAGATACTATGCCATGAAGAAACTTGAATTAATAAAATAAAATGTTCAAAGAGTACATCCATCATGGCCATTTATTATGTAATTTTTTTTGTAAATGAAAATCTACTTGGAGGGGCACGCCAATCCCAATTGAAAATGAAATTGCTTTCTAGTAATTTTCACAATGCTTTTTAAAATCTATATATGTAATTATGTATCTCTATTCGCTCAATCGTGTTCAGAAACTCAATTTACTTATTTTTTTTTAGCCTTGGCTCCTAAGGTCACCTGCACATACTTGGTGTCATTCTTTGACAGATTAACATCAGCAATTAATCAGGTTCACGGATTGACCTCCGTTGTAATAATTATTTATATGCGGTTTTATTTCCTATAACGGTAAATACTTGTTCCGATAATAAATTTCTTGACAGATTTGACTGTTCGACAGATGCATGTGCAAAGGTGTTTGCATTACATAACTGGCCTGCATATATAGAACTATTCGTCGAGACCTTTCAGTATATGACACATATAGCACTTACATAATCTTTTTATGATTATTGTAACCATCTAAGTTTATTTTTGATATATTATGAAACATAGTAAAGTCACAATACTGGAGAGAAAAATCAAGCATATGTAATATACTTGTGCATTTCTTTAAACTGAAGTTATTTAATTTTTAATGTATCACAAGGTTTCTTAGAATAACCATTGTCCTTTATTTTTTGCCACATCATGTAATGTAATAAGCAGAGCCACGCTTTAGCATTATTACTGTACAGAAAAGGGTAATAACTATTTTCTGGTGAATATCGATTCATAAATCGCACTCTGGTACATCAAACTCTGTAACTGGTTTTAGTTTAACAAGCTTTCAAAAATATTCATTTTTAAAAATGTTTCAAATAATTTATTAAATAAATAAAACAGAATATACATAACATCAAAAAGGGGTTTCGAATAATAAAAAGAAGCCATCTTTTGTATTCTCGTCCAGAGTTCTCGCAGAAGTCTCGGCTGTTTGGAGATTTCTTGTGGACAGCTTCACTTTGCTTACCTGTATAGAGTAAATGTATAGTGTAACGTCTATCAATAAAAGAAAAAAAATATAGTCATAGAGAAAAATGTACCATGATCTTGAATTAGCCTGAAAGAAAAATAACTACTTGGAAAGAAAAGTAACTACTTGGTCATTTAAAATAGAATAACCGTATATACGCGCCTATAAGTCGTTTTTAGTCAATATTTGGTCCAAAACGCTATGTCCGACTTATAGGCGAGTCATAAAAAAAGATTTTTTTTTGTCGAAAATACAAGCTTTAAACGATTTCCACTTACCAAATAATTTAATATCCAGAGCCGATACGTCTGATAGGTCTCATTGGCATATTCTTAGGATAATTAGAAATTCTACGATAAGGTCTTTGTAAGAATGAGACCGGACTTCGGATTCCATAACTAATGTGTGGTCTTTTGATGGGTAAAATGCTGGGTCGCCTATTCTTGAATATTGGACCCCCCTTTCTATAACGGAGTGGATACGATTTGCCGAATTTTGGTCCATGTCCAAGAGATCTTCTTTTACCGAATCCCTTTCCAATACCACCTCCGATTCCTAAACCACCTCCAATGTGTTTTCTGCCGCCGCCGAATCTTAATCCACCTCTGATACCCTTTCCTCCTCCAATACCAATACCACTACCAATGCCTTTTCCAAATCCTATTCCCCGTCCTCCAGATCCCCACTTTTTGCCACCTCCAATTCCTTTTCCAAATCCACCACCAAGTCCAAAGTCTCTGTCTTTACCCAAAGCAGGACCTAAGGATCCGCCAATATTTCCTCCACCGATTCCTACATCAAATCCGTTATCCCGTCCGAAACCAGCACCACCAACAAAAGAGCCACCGTCGATGCCTCTGCCTAAACCGATTCCTCCGTCAATTCCTCCTATGTCACCACCTCTTCCGCCATCGAATCCCCCAATTATACCGTCTTTTCCTCCAAACGATGGTCTACCTATAATTCCTCCCTTTCCGCCAAGACCCGGAGCTCCTCCTCCAATAAAGGATCCATCCACACCAGAGTTCACATCGAAACCAGCATCGAAACCACCGCCAATGTCACCTCCAAGACCGGAATCCAGACCGCCACCGACTCCGATATTGGAGTCCAAACTCAGTCCTCTTGTGGCTAACGCAACACCGCCCAAGTCGTTCTGGAATCCATTGTCGAATCCAGTATCAACCAGTCCGACGTCTGTATTGAATCCAGAGTTTAAGTCGTTCACAACGCCTCCGTCAAATCCAAACTCCAATCTTGGCTCAACAAAACTGTTGAGATCGTTCCCGAACCCGACATTTGCGTTCTGTTCGAACCCGACAGGGTTGATGGAACCTCTTCCAGCGCCCCCTACATCCAGGCGCCCACCGTTCCTTCTGTAGGCATCACACCCGAGGGGTCCCGGGTCTCCGGGCTCACACGGTAGGATGTGAAGTCCATAGCAGAAGGAAGCGCTCAGGAGAACCAGAAAAGCCTGCATCCTGGAATGAGATTAAAAATCAACTCTGAAAAAAATTGGAAAATACGACCATTCAAGATTTTTTTTTTTTGGCTAAAAGCAGAATGATGTCGTTGTTAATTTCAAACGAAAAAAAAAATTCTGTGTGCTTGTTAATTCCCCCGATAATTAAGATAAATACACAATTACTATCCTTGAAGTTACGATTTGTACAAAAAATGATGTTGTTGTTAATTAATATTTTTTGCACAATTAATTAACGAGTCCTTAGATCTGATAGAACAGATGATATATGTTCCCCTATCTTACCTTGTCCGTTTAACTTACTCCGGTCTGGGGACTGAGATTGGGAAACTTCTTTTATATACTTGTCAGGTGCAAATTGTCCGGAAATTGTTGCGCCGATCAATCCTTCCGTTAATTCTGATTCATCACAGCAGTAACCATATTGTTATAAACGCTGATAACTCATATAACTATTATGTATTTAACCAAATGCTATATTTCTAGGTAGATGTGGACATTAATTATGCCAAGATGGACAATTAATTGGATATAATCCCTAGGAAGTATTGACATTATTATGGGGGTTTGCGGTAGTTTAACGACTCACTGTGACATAATAAACGCATATAGCTCTGTGTGTTTTATACGCTGCATCTGTCATTAGTATATAGAGATTAAAAACGGACAGGACTTTTAAAATAGTTGTAACCCCCCCCCCCCCCCCCCCCAAAAAAAAAGGAATACAAACTGAATATTGAATCTTGCAAAATGTTGAATACTTCCCCTCCGCCCTATCTTTAGTTCTTATTTAAAATTGTGTAATACAATGCTGTTTTCACAATTTGGTTTTTTTTTTTTATTTATATGTTAATGTAAATTATATCAATTATTGACTTTCTGTTTTATTTTTTATCGTTTTCAAATAAAAAGCTCACTTTTAATGATAATTATTTCTACAAAAAGAAATGTTTTTATTGAAATAATAAAATGGTAAAATTATTGTTTTCTGAAGATTTAATATTAAGGTGAAAAATTGACTAAGTAAGGTGTAACAAACTATTGAAGAGCTATACCCATGATACCGGGTATTTAGATGTTGCATCGAGTCGAGTCTCTAACTAGTGACCTTTTTAAACTTCCAGTACTGAGATTGTTGTCAACAAACAAGTCGCATTGACATTCACTTCTTTCTGTACCTTTGCATGCCGGAATGGCAGGGGCAAAGCTTGTTTCAGTTGAATACGAAATATTTGGCAAAGTTCAAGGTAAGACTTTATGTTAATAGTCGGAAAACAATTGTGTTTAATGTTTTTCCAGTTCAGTCCGAATTATCTCCTTACAGGGCCCATCGTTTTCTGAATTTTGCTGCATGCAAAATAAAACATTACAGAAGCAAGGCTAATACAAGTACACATAAATTAACCAAATCAGTGATTACAAGGTTGTAAGAGTTGCTTCAAGGAAGAAAAATAAAAACTGTGTGTAGCCACCGGGGGGTGGGGGTTGGTGGGGAGCGGAACATCTGACAACTTTAAGACTTGTCATACCCTTGAAATTGAATAAGGGATTTTCTAAATGAAATGTCTAGATACATACAGGTCCAATTGACAATAATTGATGTCAGACTATATACAATTGTACAAGTATAATGCTGTAGTATGGAAGTGATTTAACAAGCATTGAAAATCAATAATTACATATACATATACATTATGTATAATAAATGGCTGGACAGGGAATCAAATGAAAGCCCCCGCATTACTAGTCAGGTCCTCTTACATTTTGTTCAGTCTTAAATTATATCACTGAATATCACAGAACTTATCAATGAAAAACTAATTATTAAAGAATATAGTCATATAACCAGTTTTACCACAATTTACAGTTTTTGCAGGTCTTTTTCAAAAGGATTTTAAAAAAATTCTTCTATAAAAAATTAATGACTTTCAATAACAAAAAGGGTCATATTTAATGAGGAATTTTCTACAATCAGCAGGCAATCAACTGAATCAAGGAACAGTTGCTGCACAGCTCTGAATTCCACTGTGGAATATGGAGACCAGTCATTTCATGAAATTGTATAAACCAAGGTCCCTTCACTGAAATGTTTTATATGTTTATGCCCATTTTATAGTTTCTATATGAATAAATTTGTATGATGGATCAAAGTAGTAAAATTTAGTGAAAAGTAAGAGGAGTTCACAAGGACATTATTCAAGTTCAATTTTAAAGTTTGCAGTAAATGATTGTTTACAATGTTTGACATTTAAGTAAATATTTCCTTTGTTTCATTGTAATTTAAAAATATTTAACATCACTCATGATCATAATATAGATCAAGTGAATTCTGAACTTATATTTGTACTTTGTTTTCTTGAATGCTGCTTTATCAATTACTATGATCTCAAAATAGTTTTGAAGTCCCAGCTATACTTTTTCCTTAAATCTCAGTATCTTGATTAATCAGGTATCTTGAAGATTTTTCCATCAAGTATAAAAAAGGTATATTTACATCCGCTGATTATTTTCTCCTTTATTTCTTAAGAAAACCCATTGCGGTTATCACTGCATGAACTACAGTCGGCATGTCGCCAGTACAGATTTCTTGATCAGTGGCTGTTCCATCAATGAAACGTATAAAGACGTTCGCTTCATTAATACAATAATTAATCTTTTTAATCCTACTTTAAATGATTATTTAAACAGATATAAATATAAACAATAAAATGTCTTTCTTTGTTTGTTATTACTGGAATGAACGGGCGCAGCTATTGCAGAAAAAATTAACATAACCCGCTTAAGCGGGTTATGTATCTTTTCTGCAACAGCTGCTTCCGTTCATTCCAGTAACAACAAACAAAGAAAGCATTTTATTGTTTAATTGATCACAGGGGCATCTTCTACGCTCTTTTCTCTACTCCCATTTAAAAATACACCTTGTATTTTTTATTTCTAAAATGTATTCACCTTGTGTATTGGATAAGATGCCCTGTGGTTTGATCTGACTTATTAACAATATTTCAGTGCCTTTTGGCTATCCTCATTGTCTTGTCTTCTTATTCATGCACATGTACATGTTAATTTATGTACATGATATTTATTTAATATATTAATGAAGTGCACTATATATTATGATTGTGCAAATAAGTTGAAGAGGAATATTGCACAAATTTTGAGTGCACGAATAATGCACGTTCACCAAAAAACTGCAATAATATTTTTTGTCATACATGAATTTAAAAAAAAAAGTTTTATGTTGCACTAACCTGAAAAAATGGAAATGCAGTTCATAGACATTTGCAACATGCATTTCTTACAATGTAGCTTTTATGTAGCATTAATTATCATTAAAATTAAGAATTATTAAAAAAAAAATATTAAATAAAGATAGAGGACTCTTCTTGCTTAGATAATTTTGAAATGTTCATTAATACATATTTTAATTTTACTAATAGGAAATGCTTCTTTAATAAGAACAGGTGTTAATTACAAAACTATAATGATTGAATAATCCATACATGCATAATGCCGTTTTAGTACATATTCATCAGTCTGATTACAATTAATTGTCTTTGCATGTTTCTAATGAAGGCATATTTTGGGAAACTTTCTCATTAATTCACGGTCAGCCTAATTTGTTTTCCTTTATTAATATGCATGTTGGCCACTAGTGATCATAACCCTGACCCTCATAACCAGGATAAATGGTTATTTTATTTTATCCTTGGCTTTAAATTCATTGATCTCCGCCAAAATAACTGTCTTTTCATTACTTTGTTTCTTTTTGAGTTTTCTAGCTTTTCATCAGCTGATCACTGTAAGAAATGTTTTCTAAATGTTATCAAGTTTCATTTGTTATACACTGAACCTGTACATTTCAGTAGAAAATTTGATTAGACATCTTTAATTTAAGGAAAAAAAAAAATCACATTTTTTTCAATTCAGAAAAAAATCTTGTTCATTAATTAAAAGGAGTGCAATTATACTTCTTCATGTAGCATAAACAGTTACAAGAGTCTTAGATATGTCAAAATATAAATCTATTTAAATAAAAACCCACACAGTTATTAAGCAACAGCAAGATACTTTATTTCAGAAATAAATTCTAGGCTTCTGTAAAATATTTGATGAATCTATAACAACTTTGAAAGAATTGAATATTTTTATTTTCAGGTGTATTCTTTAGAAAGGTAAGATATGAAAATTTTTATATTTTCATCTTTATTCCTTAATGAAAGTAGTTTGCCTTTTCCCCAATTAAAAATAAAAAAAAAAAAACTATCGAGCTTTAGAAGATTTATAAAATCAGTAAGGCTAATCTTATAGTTAATATTTTCCAACTTTTAAATTGGTTAATATGTAAAACATCAAAAGAAGTTTTCGTACATTGCACTTGCATGCCATGGTTACCGTAAAAAGACACGGGACAAAATTGTGATTTGCTGAAAATCAAAAGTATAAAAGATTAAAACACACGATATTAAAAGATAGATTTGTGGCAAGCAAAGTTTTTACTAATAACGATTTTATAACATCCAACTGAAAGGCTCTAGCAATGCTTAATATTTTATCCAATATTAAAAAAAATCAACTTCAAATTCAATTTGTGCCATGGGAACCTTTAAATTTGTTTAATAGCCATGTTTATCCATGCACTACCAGAAAAATATATATCAATTTTTGTCTGCAAAAAATTAATCTTTATAAAAAGTATAAAAGAAGGAGATATTTTATAGATCAATAAGCATTTCACTTTAACTCTACATTAAGTGTCAATAAAATAATTTTATGTTCTTTCTGTATATTTGAGAAACATTTGAATTTGATGGTGCAAAAAAAAAATAATCAGATGTCTGCATTTAATATATGCCTTTATCCCCAATTAATCAGCACACCCAGAAGACGGCCAAGTCCCTAGGGTTAGTTGGCTGGGTCAGGAACACGAGCCACAAAACGGTAGAGGGTGAAGTCCAGGGGGCCGAGGACAAAGTCAAACAGATGTAAGTTATAATGATCATGGTACTTAATTTAGTTGTAATAATGATACATTTTATTTAAATCTAAGAAAAGTATATTCATTAATGTTTTACATTAAGTGGTACATAAATGAAATCATCATGCCCTTTTGAAAAAAAAAGACTTGCAAATGAAAACCTGCAAATGTATTTACTCTAGATATAAGGCTTTATATTATACTTTCATGTAAATTACTTGAATCTGATTCATCGAGAAACATTTGATAAAAAACACTACTACCCGATGAATAATGAAGCCACGCCCTCCTGCGTAGAAACAGTCAACAATGCTTGACGACGGGTGGTATTACAAAAATAGTGACTGCGCGGAATTTATGCGCGCACGGTTCACTGTAATATGTATTTGTATAAAACATTCAGTATAATATAATAAATATTGCATGTAGTTGAGTATAACATTGAAAATTTTCACCCCTCGAAAACCATTGTCAACCTAGGCAAAAAATTTTCAATATTACACTCAACTACATGCAATATTTATATAATATACCCCCCCCCCCCCCAAATAATAATAGTAATAAAAAAACATGAACATCATTAAAGTTCCTTATCAGACACGCTTCCTTCTAATATTGTTTAAGTTTGTTTATTTCTTTATTTAGTTCAAGATAAATATTTGTGACAACTACATGTACATTTACTAAGTCAGTTTCTACTTTTTGATGGAGTGATAAGAATGACACGGTTGACCGTTATCATCCACTGCTTAATATTAAATTCAAATTATAAATTAATTTATTATCAAATTTTGATTTGTTTTCTAGGAAAATCTGGTTACAAACAAAAGGAAGCCCAAGTTCCAGAATTGACCGTGCTGTGTTCAAAAATGAAAAGACAATTCCATCAGTGAAATATCAGGATTTTTCAGTCAGACACTAGCAATGTTTTTAGCACAGGAGGTCGCATGGTTATCAATTTCTCTAAATTTTTAGTAAATAGAAAATTTATGTCAAACCTTTTATAACAATACGTGTATTTTTAAAGGCATGACATATTTTTTTTTTATTTTGGTAAATTGATACGGTTGCGATCTCCTGTGTTTTTTGGTAAACATTGTATTTCACAAATAGAAATGCTTTTAAATTATGAATTTTGATATATTTTATAATTGGTTGATGGTGTTGATAGATGGCCAGTTGTGAATTTATTTAATTTTCAAATTTGAATTATTATTTTTATTTGTTTTAATCTTATCAAGTGTTGAAGATTTATCCGAGATTCCTCTGACTCTAACCCCTGCTTTTACATTGTGACTTGTGCAGGGGTAAGAGTCAGAGGAATCTCGGATTAGTTGAAGATATAAAGAGAAGGAATTGCATCTTAATTAATTCAAAGACAAAAATACAGAGGAAAAATTGTGTAGACATCTCTGTACATCAAATGAGTGTGCCTCTGTAATAGATATCTATAAACATTAAATTTATATATTTAAATCAATATAGAATGGACTATTTCTGAAGATTGAAATTTATTTATATTTCATGTTCGAAAAGATATTTAGTACTTGTATACTATTGTTGTATATGAGGGAAAAAGAAGGATATGGAGATAACGAACAAAATTCAATATCAAAGTCCATAAAACAATACAAAATAGAAGTAGAGCAAACACGGACCTCCAGAGGTGTGGGATCAGGTGCCATGGAGGAGTGAGGATCCCCTGCTGACCGGTCACACCCGCTGTGTGCTCCTTGTCATGATCGAGAAATAACGAAAAATCCGTCGTCAATTCACTGTGTAAAAAAGCCGTGCACTATTTTGGCATAGTATGTTTACGCTATATAAATCTTTAGACCACTATGCGAGAATAGTAGTGTATGGGTTATATAGAGACAAACTGACAGGAAGCTGAATAATTCAGTGTATAAATAATGGACTAACAAATAGTATGAAAAACGCCAGTCAGCATTTGACTCAATGATAGATTGTATTTGCTGACAAGGTCATTGTATCGACCATAGAACTTACGAAATGATGACTTTAAACGTGACTGTTGATATTCTTGTTTCATCAACTTGCTTGTCAATAATTTACCTCGTTTAAGAAATTGTTCATACGTAGAACATGCTCTTGTATATCGAATCAACTGAGATATATATACTCTGTATGCAGGTGATGAATGTATATTGCTGCATAAGTAAGAGAAGTTAACGATAGAAAAGTTTAAGTCATCACGTTTATCATAAAGCTTAGTTGTTAGATAACCATTAACGTCTTTTTCAAGTAAAATATCCAAGTATGAAACAGATGTGTCAGACTCTGTGGTATCTTTTATCTCAAGCTCACCAGGATATATCGTATCAACGTAGGAATGGAAATTACCATTGTTAATTGACAATACGTCCTCGATATTTCTAAATGTCGAGTTGAAGGCCACACCAAGTGTTTTCTAAGATTTTGCACAAATTCTGCTTCATATGAATATAAAAGTAGACCTGCTTATAACGGAGCGCAATTGGTACCCATGGGAATTCCAATAGATTGTTTGAATACCTGGTCTCCAAAAACCATAGAGATATTGTCAATCAGACACTCAAGCATCTTTTTTAAGTCAACTTCAGAGTACTTGTGTGTGCTATCATGCAGAATGTGTTTTAACAAAATAATTTTGCAAATGACCAATGACCAGATACATGTAAGTAAATTAACGAAACACTTCAGCCCAAAGGCTTCTTTATACGAAGAAAGGTTAAATTCTTTTCAGATATTCAGATTTCCTGAGCTAAAGGCTCAAATGAGCAAATATGATTTAAAAATCTTTTTTCTGTTGTTGCCGTTTCTGTTGTAAATTTTTCATATATATTATGTTAGTCTGCAGAATTGGCAATTTCATCCAAACTTTTTTTCACAAAACGGTTTTTGGTTCAGAGGATTCAACTGTATTAAAATTAACGACCAGGTCTGATATACATGGAGATAATTCAAAAATTAGTTTGTTTTCTGGAATTCAATAAAACGAATTGTTGAATTTATTGTTAAAAAAAAAAATAAATAAAAAAGATAATTCGCTATAACAAATTAAATTCATATTAAGCAATGTAAAAATTCTTTATATCGAATTAAAATGTCACACGTTGAACAAAATTTAAAAGAAATCGTTTCAACAAAGTACATGTAAATTCGTTATTAAAATTTGTTGCATCAATTTTATAACGAATTAAATCAATTATAATAAATCATTTTAAATTGTTACAATGAATTCAAAAGTTCGTTTTAACACACAAATTTTATAAGTTATAGATAATATCTAAAGAAATCCAAAATTTGTTATAACGATTTCAAAACGAAGTCTTAAATCTATCATAAAGAATGGTTTGTTCGGCAAATCGTTTTGTAGGAATTTTTGATATTGAGCTATTGTCTTTAAATATCTCAATTACTTAATAATAACAAATTTGATTCGTTATAACGACTTCAAAAAAAGAAATTTTAATTTAAAAAACACCACTAACAACAAAGACACATTAAGAGCGATGACAGATCCCCAAGTCTTGATTCAATAAAACATAAAACTACGACTTGGGCAATTTTTCAAATGTACAGATGGACGGCCTAATGTATAACTATTGTAATATACGGCCATAAATTACTACATTTTTACGAGAAATATCCCGGCTTTTAGAAACGTATATGTATATATTTTAACTTCATTAAATACTCATAAAAGTAATCCATGCGTGTTTAATACATGTATCATTGCTCCGTAAAGTTCACAATATTTTTATACAATATTCTATTCTTAATCAGCTTTGCAGTTAGTCATTCGAAATATCTACATTTACGATCATGCAGAACAACTGTTTTTAAGAGGACAAAAAATCTTGTGAAGCACAACATGAGTTGTGAGTTAATATATAAAAACTACACTGAATGCTAAAAGAACTTTTGATTTACATGATTGTGTATTGCATGGATTTTAAGTCATAAATTTTTAAAGAGACATACGTAAGATAGGTTCTTAATTTATGTGTATTCTTTTAACTGTTATGTATTGATTTTCACTTTTTCTTTTCTTTTCCCTTTTATAGCGTTCTTTTTTCCTGTAATTGTAGATTACTGACATTATTGATAAATTGAGTTATGAAGACTTGAATTAAAAAAAATCCAACATAAAAGACACACAAAATGCCACACAAATTCTTATTAATGAAAACAGACTTTTTTTTCATACTTTATACAGTTTAATATCATTCATAGAATATTTTGTTTATCTATTATGCTTTTTTGGGGCGTATCATCATTTTTGCAGACTTCAGGGACCTCCATACCAACTCAGTTCTGTGGCATCTTGCTTGGAGTCTTTTCTGTATACTCCATTTAGATTGCAATTCAAACAATCAGCGAACCAGCCCGCTGTTTTGAAGGTCTGAGCACATGGCCTTCTTAATCTGTCATTGTCTTTGTCCCTAGTGCTGAACTTCATACTGCTGTGTTGACTAAAGCTATCACCTGAAAAGTACAGAAGGCTTATACTAGTTAAATATTATTTTCTCTCACTTTTCACTCTTTCGTACGTCATTTACTCAACAGAAATACATTGTACATGTATCTCAGATTAAAGAGTTCATGCAAATATAAACCGATACTTTTCACGCGCGGCTATTTCATGAGGAAAGATGCGCGTTACAAAAGAAAAGTATTGTACCATATCCCCTTGAACTTTCAAAACTGAACTACTAATACTTACAGTCCTATTTCGGCTTTTCATTTATTTCATTCAAACATGCATACATGTACAGAAAGTGCAAGACTGTACATGTATACGATTTAGCTGAACCATAAATCCCCCTTAGTTTTATACGAGTATGAGCGATTGCAATACTCTTAAAAAAAAAAATAGTCAACCAAGAAAGCATGATATACAATTTCTCTGCAATATTTTTCTATCATTAATCTTCGTTGAAAGATTTTAACATGTATTGTTTATTTATATACTGTGGTTTCATCAATATTCGTTATGCACCAATTTTCATGGATTTCGTTGTTGAGCAGATCCACGAATTCAAATGTTCATCGAAATACGAAATATGACATTCATTTGTATTGGCAATGCTTTTGTCCACGAGATTACGTATCCTCGAAAACGTCTGTTTTACAAAATCCACGAAAATTGATGTCAACGAAAATTGATGAAACCACAGTATTTGTGTAAATTATCCATATCAAAGGGTTACATACGTACATTGAAACAGTTCTTAAAAAGAGCTTTCATAGGGATGTCTTTAAAGCTGGATATTAGTAGCTTTAGATAATTATAGTGTTTATCGATTGATCAAGAGCAATCGGTTTTTATATGAAATGCAGGCGAAAATGATCAATGGATGTATATATTTTCTCATTTTAACGTTAAAAAGGGCTGCCTGACTGCAGTAGTACATCCATACAAATGTAGGAAAATTTCATAAGGAAATTTACTTACCAGAATTTATTTCAGAGGAATCTAAGAGAAATCGTCTTATGTAAAATTGATCTTACCTAGACCTTTGGTTCCAGTTTATACTTTTCGGCCTCGCTTCCGATGTAGAATGTAGAGTAGGTTGCATGTGCTTTTTCTTTGGAGAACTTTTCCAGATCTATCCTTAGTTCTTGCTTTCTGACTTTTGTCAAAGCGTGAATAGCATCATTTCCTATGTACATACAATGTATAAAACTTCTGTTTTTTTATACCAGTTTGATGGGAAATAAATATTATATATATATATATATATATATATATATATATATATATATATATATATATATATATATATATATATATATATATATATATATATTATTTTTTAAATTATTTTTTTGTAATACCGGGTATGCCGCTCTCACCCAGCCAGTATTCATCCTTGGCGTCACCAAATCCGTTTTTGTACTCGGCCCAGTTCCTGTAGAAATTGGTTGAGCCATCTTGTCGTCTTTGTATCACCTGAAATCATTTCTGGGTGTAAAATACGCTTAATATGAGTAGATTAAAAACAACATATCTGTATGTAACTTGTACAGCTTCTGAGTTTCTCCTCGAATAACTAAGTAAAGAAATGATAGTACGGACTCTTGCAAGTATTGCAGTGAAAGATAAGAGAAAGTGAGAGGATGTATTATTATATATTAAGTAATATATTATTTAAGGAATGAAGCTTATGTTATACGATATAACACAACTTGGGGCAGTTTACGCTTTATAAACCGCGAACCGTTGAAATAAGCTTCATACCTTGTAATTTAATTTCAATGTAGACAATGAGACAAATTTCCCATTTTTTCCTTCGGAAAAAGCCTTCAAACATCGCATATTTTAAAAGTTAACGTCAAGCGGAGTAATACGTCTTTGACGTAACTCATTGTGACGTAGGCAAGTTATGCTATACAAAATGGATAAAACCGTTTAACCAATCAAATGACGTGTTACAAGTGAAATTAAATTATTTCATAATACTCAAGTAATATATCAGTATATGTTGCCATAATTACCGTCCATCCGCCTCCGTCCGTCGTCATGTCACAGTACACTGACTTCTTTGTCTTCATGGCAGGATAAATCGTGTACACGCCATCTTTACTCCGAGGTCTGTATTTGAGGACATCAGCACAGTCTTTGAGCTTTTCTTTGAGATCTTTGTGTTTTCCATTGTTGTCTGAAAAGATTTAACTAGAGTTTTGAAATATAAGAATTAAGCACTTATCTAACACAATTCTCGTCTGGTTCACTTTGGTCCTGCTGTTCATTAATTTTGCAGATTTTTGTATTCCTTATATAAAACTTTAATATCTTATTGTAGCCTCATCCTGTCCCCGTGGTCAAGTTTCGAAAAGAAAACAAACGGAATCTATATGTGCACTCTCCAAGGATCCTTTCTTATAAATACTCTTGTATGTCCAAACATCGCTTGCTGTTCTTGAGTAAATGATTCTAAAACATTTTTTTTCTAAATGTTCTATGTCCAATGTTAAACTCTGATTTTCCATTCCAAGATACATGTAGCATGACTACGGTGGCCCAACGTTGACTATCGGTTGGACCGTTGGCTAATGGCTGGCGTTGTGTATACAGCGTTGGCCCATGCAATGCTAGACCAATTTCAACATAACACTATTTTACTCAGAAGTCGTTGGGGACACAAGGTTGGTCAAACGCTGGGTCACTGTTGTTAGTTTGTCCCTATTGGAGTACAACTTTTGGTCAAATTTGGGCCAATGTTGGTAAATCACGTCTTATATTGATACATTTTTTTTTTGGGGGGGGGGGGACAACTTTTTTCCTGTATATTCCATTATCAAACTCGGATTGACCATTAATTGGTGTCTCAATTTAAGCTACCTCCTAGGGTTCGTGAATAAACAAAAATGAAATCATACTTCCTGGGGATTGTGAACGTAACAAACAGAGATCATTCTCTTAAATACAGTAGATTGAACGAATTGTGATCAGAGGCAGTGTCAAACCTAGGACCCCTAGAAACATCAGAGGTAGAATCAAGTTTCCAAGAGGAGGAGGCTTCTCCGTGGGCTCTATGAATTAATCATGTAGGTGGATCCGGAGTACTATACCCGGTTATGACAAAATTTGCTAAAAACAATCATACGTTAATAGAGAAATCTACAATCATGATCGAAACCTCTAGAATATGTTTGCACATGTGACGTTATGATAATGACGTAATTAGAACTGGAAACAAAGTATTAATTGTTAACTCATCCTACCTTTTGGGGTCATAGTTAAAAAATATTGAAGATAATACAAATACATAACATTATAACATACATGTAACAGTGTTTAAATTTCTTAAAGAAAAACTTACGTAATTTAAGAAATACATGTCCATCCTTTAGTTTATAACTTGACTTCAGATCCAGAGTCATAGGTCCGTGTATAGAAATGACCGTGTTCTTATGATCCCATGTAGAATTCCCCAGCTTTGCTTTCATTTCATCTACATAAATAAACAAATTAAAGATTTTACATAAAATATTTAGGATTTTGTATAGACAACAAAAACATTCTTTTTCTAATCAATTGGTAATGAAGTTTGTCAAAAGAAAATATAAACAATTGACATGTTCAATTTATGACACTGGTAATTATAACAATAGTAAGACTAGTTCATAAGGTATTAAGTATGTATAATAATGCATTATTTAGTTATAAATATATAATAAATATTTATATTTTCTCTATCAGTTAAGAATAGTTAATTGTAATGTCAACCTCTTTGTACCGGTGGTATCTGATGAAACTTGTTTACAATCTATTATATTGAGGTACGATTCCGTGAATGTATGGGTGGTTTCAGCTTGAGAGATAATGAAAAAAGTGAGTAATGCATAATATAAGACAAAACTTAATAAAGTTTTCTTTTGTTAAAAAATGCTATTAACCTGTCAAGTGGAGCTTAATTCCCGAAGAATAAACAAGAGAAAATACGGCTATCAAACACACAGACTTTAACATTGTAAGGTTTGTCATGATAACTCTTCTTCCTCTTCTTTCAGACTATAAACATGTACCATTGTATATACATGTATATAAAAGTTGTAGGAGGTATCTATTACACGTGGCGAGACTGATTTCTACAAGTATTAAAATGAAATTTAATATTGCTATACACCATTTCATAATCAATATATATACAGAGAGAGAGAGAGAGAGAGAGAGAGAGAGAGAGCAAATGTGTGAAATGTATCGTGTGCAATTAAAATGACAAAATACATCAGATCCTTTCTTAATTTGATTTATTAATTCAAAAAAATAGAAATAACAGATAATAAATAGAAGCAGTTGTATGTCATATATCTAATTCATGAAATTTCAACTCTTATAATGATAATGAAGAAATCGTGGTGTATGTAACTATTCATATAATCAGTATGTTAATTACATATTTAACATTTGTTTAATCATAACCATAAAAGTTATTAAATATTCATACAGTAATAAACTCATCAGGATTGAGTAAACAAAGCCGTTTTGGAAATCAACCAAGAGAGAAAATTCGGATTCATTCTATTTTTTTACTTCATAATAATTTCTCCAATTTGTGAGCATTCTTACAGATTGAGAATCAAATGATAAAAATAAGCCAAACGTGCTGATAAAAATATGTGTTCCAAATCCATCTTGCATGACAAACAATATGATACAATCAAAATGTTCAAAATGAATGGCAAATAATTTGTAGACTAGAATTAAGTTTATGTTCTTGAAGTCAAAATACACAAAAATGATCACAGCTATCTATCACACCAATTCTACAGGACTACATGCAAAAATATGTTTTAAAAGAGAAAACAGTTTATATGCAATATCAAAAACGTTAACTCTATAATGAATTATCTGAATTAATGGTAAAGTATTATATTTAAACATCTATTTTAGGGCATGAAAACATGGAGAACACTTTATTGTTAACTGAATTTATATCTTAATAATTGCCCAAAGAAGAGCAGCAAAAAACGGTAAACTTAAATGTATAATGACCATTTTGACAAAAATGTACAACATGAAAACAATTTGCATAAAAACATGTTACTTTTAAAAGCACTTATAATCTTTAAGATATATATCATTTGCTTTACTAAAAAATTAAGTATTGAAAAAGATACTTTGTTTTGATAAAATATTAAGTATACAAAAAATAATTGAAGGACTGAAAAGGCTACAAAATCCATCTAACAAATTAAAATTCCCACTGAAGAAAGTCATTTAATATTATATACATGTAATTAAAATTTACCATTTTTTTATTTCTTCATGTAAAACCAGGCATTTCATATAGTATTGAAAGAATTTTTTACTTTTTTCCTTCAAATCTGTAAAATTTAATGACCGACACATATCTACATATATCTTTATTGAAAAACTTTTGATTTATAGCAAGGCTTTTAATAGGGTGTTTAAAAAGAATGTTCATCATTTTTCTTTTTAAAAATTCTGTAATATCAAATACTATATATTATATATTGAGACGTTTCATCTTTTTATTTGCTCCTTGAAATATTAATTTCTCTCATGATATGTTAGGGATCTCGAAATAATTTTTAAAAAAAAGTTTCTTGCATAGATAAATAAATATACAATAAAAATAAAGAGTACAATACTCTAATAAAATGACAACAATCAGATACTGATTGATATCGAAGTATTAAAAGATGTACATGTAAGATAATAATTATGCGTAAATGTAACACACAATCAGAGTAAACAACCTTTAATATGTGTATATATATATATGGACAAAATGCCAGTAAAAGGTAAACCCTTCTTTAATTATATAAATACATTCCATAATAATACAGCTAATAAATTGGAAAATGATTTAAATTGGTAAAAAAAAATTCAAGTGCAATATATGTGCTTCAATGATAAAGATCAGCGTTACTTAAATTTGCAATTCAAAACTGTATTTTTTTTAAATTCCTGATAACTCTTATGCTCAAAGAGGTTGCAAAAATATTTTTTTGCTTGTAAAGGTAAAATAAAATAGATAAGAGAAAAATTCATCACCAATATAAAGCATATTTATGCAGGTACTGCATTTGATCAACATAAATAATGTCATCTATACTTTTTGAAAAACAACTCATTGCCACCATAATATGATGTGCTCAATACGATATAACAAACTCCATTGTAGAATGCCTTTTTTCCCAATGAAATATCCCAAAACTATCAAGCCTTAAAAGAGTCATAAAATCAGTAAGGCTTTTCTTTTAGTTTGTATTTTTCAACTTGGTTATTATTAAATAAAACATCAAAGGAATATTTTGTGCATTGCATGGTTAAAGAGACACATGACAAAATTGATTTTTGTTGAAAATTATATATATATATATATATATATATATATATATATATATATATATATATATATATATATATATATATATATATATATATATATATATATATATATATATATATATATAAGAAAAACGGCATTAGTGATAATTTATTTATGCTTGTTCCGTATACTTTACATACATGAGTTTTATTTCAATTTCGAATGGAACACCATAATAATATTCTGAGATACATGTACATGTAGGCGTTAATAACTTTCTAATGACCCCAGGATATTACACAGGGGGGAGGGGGGGGGGGAGGCTGTTCACAAGTACCTGTGGTTTGGCCCACACAAACACTGTGTGTGTTCAAAAGACCTCACCTAGACCAAGACAAAACCACTTACTAGGTGTTCATGTTTCTGATAGCTTTTCTGGACATGATGACATCATGTAAGGCTTTCTTGAATCCTCTTAAATAAAATGTAAAACAATGAACTCAAAGAAATATCAAATAGTACGAGGGCCGTTCAAAAATTACGCGGACTTGTTGCACAGAAAAAATATTTGGACAGGAAGGACAACTCTTTAATTTATAATTTAATTAAAAAAGTCTTTAAATGAAGCTTGAAAATTAAATATTTTCATGCAACAATTTTCATTTTTTGCCTCTCAATGTGCTTCAAGATTCTTTGCAAAGCTCCATAAATCACTTCTAATTCCATATCATAATCGGACAAAATGTTCCACATAATATAAAAGAATCTTTACTTATATGGTCTTCAAAATTTCATATCAGAATGTGACACTTTTAAGTCAGGGAGAAGCAAAATCTTCAACATCAAGGGCATTCTAAAAATAATATGTCTTGAGCTTTCATTTTCTAAACATTTTCCTGAGAGTTCCGGTAGCGTTTGAGTTACCTTATCTTCTCAACATCCATACACCATTTCTTGTCAAGCTTAAACTCTATAAAAAAAGTAAAGCTTATTCTTTTCTTGTTTTAAAACTTAAAACTGCAGGTACTTATGAGATATAGTGTGACATTGATCACTCTCAATCACGTTTTTTTTACCGTCCGGATAAAGTTTTCCACGATAATCGTCTTCCCGTCCTCCCGTATAGACTTTAACATGGGTATAACGGCCTTAAATTCCAATTTGTTATTTGTAGACAAATGTCACAAATACCATAGTTTACTATATGTTTTATTATGCATATTCTTGATCTATGTTGGCGATATCTGGAGCATTACACTTAATTTAACAAAAGTGTGGTGCTCCGTCAATTCAGGAGACGTCATTTTCACAGTCTTTTTCAAAGGATTATCGCATCGGAATATCACTATATTTCTTTTAGTACTTCAAATACCAGAAATCTAAATACATAATAATATAACAATATAAAGATACATCTGAGTAAATTGTCGAAAAATATCGTGAATTATAGAAAATTATTAAGTTTAATTTTGGATTCCACATGCTTTTGTTTCAAATTTTCTGTCGTGCTCCGTACCTCTCCGTCAGCGATATCAACAAAGCGATAATTTTAGGCTGAATTTATTTCAAAAATGCAGGAATGTTGCCCAAAATTTATTGAAAACTTTAAGATACATATTTCTGCGTAATTTTTGAACGGCCCTCGTATTAATATATATAGGATATTAGTTTCAGAATTAAATGAAGTTTATAGACATATCATGCCTTACCTCATTGAGAGATACATAGGTCTGATGGCAAACAGTGGGAATGTGTGGACTTTGATCATGATGACCATGAACGCCATATATAACACAACCTTCACCGCACCTGTAATGGCATTATAATCTAATAATAAACCTCAAAGCACACAGGCATCCTCCGAAACAAAATATGTTATTCTAAAAAATGTTTTATGATATTAAAATACGTCGTCAATTAATTATGAAAATTCAAATAAATACGTCATAACAGCTCATCAGTTTCTCTGTACCTTACATTAAATAATTTTGTATTTGCACAACAAATATATAAGCTAAAACTATGTGCAAAGTGTAGAATTCTTTGTCTAAAAGCCATTGTACAACAAGTCAGTATATACCAAGAACTAATACTTCGCATAGTAAATGAAATATAGTATTTACACAGTACTAACTCTGTATACAGTATTTACCTAGTACTAACTCTATGTACAGTATTTATCTAGTACTTACTCTGTGTACAGTATTTCTCTAGTACTAACTCTGTGTACAGTACCTAATACTAACCCTGTTAACAGTATTTACCTAGTACTAATTCTTTGTTCAGAATTGTCCTCGTACTAATTCTGTGCACAGTTACCGTATTTACTTAGTTCTATCTCCTTGGCGAGTATAATTTACCTACTGTTACGACATGTAAATCAAATTTCTATATTGTTTATACCAAATACTAACACTATAAGCAGTAAGTATAGTTTTTACTCTGTAATAAATCTGCGTACAAATTGTTCTTACTGCCGTGTTCTAACTCTGCGTATACTGTAGATTCCTTATTTTCGCGAGTACTTATTATCACGAAAGACCTCTTTACCGTCAAATCGCGCAGATAATAATTTGCGAAAGGAGGGTTTATCAAGAGTTTTTACATTGATATCAGCACCGTGAAATAAAAGCGATTTATTTTATTTCGCGAGTGGTGGTTCTCGCGAATTTACGCGATAAATAATTTCACGCGTATATTTAGGAATTTACAGTAGTTGGTATTTATAAATCCTAATTTTGACTAGGGACATATTTAGTACATACTAGTATGTCCCTGTTATAATGTGTTCAATTATTTGGTATTTACCTACTTGTAGTACTATCTCTTTGTACAGTATTTTCCTAATATTAACTAAGTGTACAGTATGTATAAAGATAGGAGTCTAGGGCTCACTCTGTGTTCAAGAGATAGTGCCTTATTTTCCTAGGGGAAAAGTCTAAAGAGCTAATTAGAATAGACCTCATGAATGTCATAGCCACTATTTTTGGCCACATTTTTCTTACCATTAATTCCATATATGTCTTGATGTTTTGGGGTGGGTGGATGGGTTGTGTATGTTTTAACAGATATATAATATGGATTTGGAATTCAATTTTAAATACTAGTAAGCAAGTAAAAATACACATATTTTAATTCAAATTCTGAAATATTAATGCCTATGGTGCCCCATATCCTTGAAGTTCTATAACGAAATATGTAATGGCAACTTGACAGGGTCTTTCTCAATTGATATTAATCACAGTTAGCACTCAATAAATCACTTCAGCATGTTAGAACAAATGACCTTTGGGATTTACATTCTTTTGAAAAAGTTTACCTCAACCACATGATATAGGTATTATATGTACTATATAGGTATTACCTATTTTTATAATTACTTAAAAATTAGGTCAAATTGATAGGTACGCGAACTCGAACTCCTGTGCCTCAACCATGAGAAGTCATGGAGGGGCATCAGTGTTTTACAAATACATTTTGTTGTCTTTTGGTCAATACAGTCATGTGACTTGGCGAATGAAATGAACATGTCTGGTTTTCGTACATCTTTTTCTAAATGACATCCAGCTTTGATATCTTTGTAGATTGCATTATAAAGTTGGAAATGATATGTAGATACTTCACAGGATATATTTTTTAAATTTTCTAACGTTTATGCGTGAATTCAGTTTTTCCAATATCAGAATTATTCCTCCACATTTCAAAAGAATGGCAATTAGAATTTTAACAGAATAAGGGAAATAAATTAAAGACTTAACTTTATTTCAAATTAGTCCCTTGCCATATCAAATAAAGCAATTGTTTCTTTTATCTCAAATTTGTAAACATCTAATGTACCTATATTTTCTATATGATATTACAATTAGAAAATGGTATCTAGAATAAATGAATGTCAACGTTTTTTACTTTTCTTTCAGAAACTATAAATACAATTTACTACTCTTCCATTTTTTTAAATTTGCAATTCTTAATCACATCCTTGAATTCTATATTTACTATGAGTCAACTAAAACGGGAGTAACATGTTAATGCAATGAAATATAACATAAAATAATATCCATGACATACCATATACGTACAAATAATCATAACAAAATGAATTGTTAATTACATGAGATCAAGCGCCACAGTATATCAACACATACACTAAACTCATACAAACAATTCCAAACATCTGACCTTAATAAAATCACCCTCAGTTAAAGTGACATTACAAGAAATAAAAATTAAATTTTAGCATAATGCACGCAATTGTTCCCATTTTTTATCAGCTACTAGTATTTCAAAAAAAAATACATTCAAGGATCAATTATTTTATTTATAAGTGTACTTCCAGTAAGAACATCCATTGCAAAACTGCATAAATTGCATGTATGTTGTTGTATGGCACATTCTTTTCAATGGTAATTTAAACAAGAGGCCCATGGGCCACATTGCTCACCTGAGAAGCTTTGACTATTTTGTTATTTACCAGACTTCCCCCTTGTAATACATATTGTGACCCCACCCTACCTCGCTAATCATAATTTAGACAATTTAAAATCTACACTACATCAGGATGCTTCCATATAAGTTTAAGCGTTTAAGCTTTTCTTGCCCAGTGGTTCTTCAGAAAAAGATTTTCAAAGATTTTTCATATATATATATATCTATGAAAAATTTGATTCCCCATTTTGGCCCCACCCTACCCCCGGGGGTCATGATTTGAACAATTTAGAATCAACGCTACCCCAGGATGCTTCCACATAAGTTTCAGCTTTTCTGGCCCAGTGGTTCTTGAGAAGAAGATTTTTAAAGATTTTCCTATATATTTCTATGTAAAACTTTGATTCCTCATTGTGGCCCCGCCCTGCCCCGGGGGTCATGATTTGAACAATTTAGAATCTACACTATACCCCAGGATGCTTTCACATAAATTTCAGCTTTTCTGGCCCAGTGGTTCTTGAGAAGAAGATTTTTAAATGACCCCACCCCCTTGTGAGGAGACTTGTCCCTTTATTTTAATAATTTAGATTTCCCTTCACCCAAGGATGCTTTGTACCAAGTTTGGTAAAATTTGGCCCTGTGGTTCTTGAGAAGAAGTCAAAAATGTGAAAAGTTTACAGACGGACAGACAGCTAGACGGACAGACGGACGGACGACGGACAAATGTGATCAGAAAAGCTCACTTGAGCCTTCGGCTCAGGTGAGCGAAAAAACTTTTCAATCATGGACAGAATTTACTAAGGTAACTCTGATTTGAATGCATGGTTTACTTTGAATTGTTTTAGATAAAACCGATTAACTGTGCCAGGCCACAAGCATTTTAAATTCTTCTTAATGCATAATTACAGTGAAATAAAATGGAGGAGATAACTCTGCAACAACTGTTTTAACAAGAGAGACAGAAGGAAAACAGACAACTCACTCCGTTAACAAAACCTCTGGATGAGGGAGGGAATGTTTATATTTAACACACAGAACTGGTGTGGTACTAGATGGTCGTGTCTGATGATAGAGTGTCTTCTTTTCCAACTTCGGTAATCTTCTTTGCCGGCTTTCATCCGGCATTTCTTGTTCTTTTGGGGGGCGTGTACCCAATAGCTCCCTCCAGATCCTCATAACCTGTTAATCAAAGGTCAACAGTTCATCACTGAGTAAACTTATATATAATGTTAATTCCAATTCACAAATTCTCATTTTTCCATCCTCACACAAGCACAATTTAGACCATTTCTCTGAGAAAAGTAATCAATGTTTGGTGTTTTCAGACCTCATAACCTGCCATAAGGTTATAACCCAGTAAACTTTTCTTTAAAAACATGTGATTTTCATCTGCAGAGTTAAGTAATTTTTGTGTACACTAACAATTGAACTTACTAAGGTCTGTCCCATTGGGTTCTGTTTTTATTTCTTCTTTGGTTTTTATGACGTCACTTTTTGACTGTTGCTCCTGAATTCTATTTGTTTAGGATATATTTGTATTTATAACTGGAGTGCTGTAAGAAAAATAAATCACAAGGTCATTATACAAAATATAATTTCTTATACAACAATTGAAAATACTTCAAACTGCATGGTAAAACTTAATTAAGATCCCTAAATATATGGGAGAAATGTATAAAATTTGCCCATATCATCAATCGTGAAATAAAATTATTTGCTTCATATAACATAATTACTTCATGATGTAATATCAAAATACTCATACATATATCTAGTTAATTTGAGTATATAAGCGAGTTTAACTGTATAAAGTTAGTCATGATTATCTAGTTTATTTGATTACCTTAACTGAGCTGATATCTATTTTATTTGATTACCTTAACTGAGCTGATATCTAGTTTATTTGAGAACCTTAACTGAGCTGATATCTAGTTTATTTGAGAACCTTAACTGAGTTGATATCTAGTTTATTTGAGTACCTTAACTGAGCTGATATCTAGTTTATTTGAGTACCTTAACTGAGCTAATATCTTTTTATTTGGGTACCTTAACTGAGCTGATATCTAGTTTATTTGAGTACCTTAATTAAGCTGATATCTAATTTATTTGAGTACCTTAACTGAGCTGATATCTAGTTTATTTGAGTACCTTAACAGAGCTGATATCTAGTTTATTCGAGAACCTTAACTGAGCTGATATCTAGTTTATTTGATTACTTTAGTGAATCCAGCATAAGTTTCCTTTGAAATGACAATAAAATTATTCACTATTTTCAGGGACCTATATACTACATGTACTTAGAAATTACTTCATTTTCAGTAAACTCTGTTTATGGTACAATGTTATTGGAGTTTTATGAAGAGACTTACTTTTACATTCGACAGCTGACTTTTACATTTTAGTATATGGAGTTTGTATGCGTTTAAATTGTAAAAGTCAGTCGTCAACTGTAAAAGTAAGTCTCTTCATAAAACTCCATTACTTAGTACTGGACTTTTACAAGAAGCACTGACTTTTACAGTTGACTGTTTACTTGGACATTTAAACATTCACATCTACGGAGGTACAGAATTGATAATGGAAAAGAAAATCTTTCTAGTGGTCATGGTAATGCTGTTAGGGGAACTTGTATGAGAAAGACTGGATTTGAGGGTAGGATGGTTGTCGTTTTCTTCAAGGATATCTTATCTGTGCTTTGAAATAACCCTTTATTTTCGTTGAATTAAATGTTGAACTGAATTATTATATCGTAAAAGAGCTTCCGTACACTGTCCCAGTGTGAGAATAATTCGTCAACCGTAAAAGTCAGCGCTTCTCGTAAAAGTCCATTAACAGGTCCAGTCCAAAGACTATTTCTACCTACGTAGCTATTAATAGCTACCTAGGTATTTAAAGCTACCCAAAGTAGCTATTTTTACCTACTTTTTATAATTTCTGCATTTTGCGACACAAAGACCAAACGGCGCAACATGGTGAATACCATATCTTATGATACAGTCACACTAATGATTAATACGACAAAATTTTGGCCAAAAAATGATTACTTCCTGAATCGGTAATTTTACATTGGTTTCTATGCAAAATTGATAATATACGAAGTAATCATTTTTTGACCAAATATTTGTCATATCCATTTTCAGTGTGACTGTATCAAGACATTTTGTGCTCACCATGTTGCGCCGTTCCTGCATTTGGCCACAAAATGCAAGTAAAGCAGAAAGTAGGTTAAAATAGCTACTTTGGGTAGCTTTAAATACCTAGGTAGCTATTAATAGCTACGTAGGTAGAAATAGTCTTCGGACTGGACCTGATTAACACCACTTGTACAGTAGGTATTTACCTATTACAAACTCGGTGTATTTTTCCAAGTACCAACTTAGTGTAAAGTTGATATTTGATTTCATATACTAAAGAGCATGCACTTATGCTCACATTTGAATTCGCTTTCTAAAATATTAATGCCTATATATAGTCCCCCATAAAATATTTTGCTATAAGGAAATATGTCATGGAAATTTGACAGGGTTCTTCTAAATTGATATAAATCAAAGTACTTATACTTAGTAAATCACTTAAGGTCCGCACACTTTTGAATATTTTTTTTTACCTCAACCATAGGAGTTCGCGTACCTATCAATTTAATCACAATTTTCAGTAAAAAGAAAAATACATAATACCTATATAGGAATTACCTATCTTTTATATTTACTGAAAATTTTGGTAAAATTGTTAAGTACATGAACTCCTGTGCCTCAAGTCGCCTGCGTGGCGCAGTGGTTAGAGACTGTATAAACCGAGGCCCCGTGTCGCAGGAGGTGCTGGCACGAAAAAGATCCCTCACTGCTCAAAGGCCCTGAGTGCCGAGCATAGGACAAAATTTGTAGCCCTCCACCGGCAAGTGGTGGCGTCTCCATATGAGTGAAAAATTCTCGAGAGGGGACGTTACACAACATACAATCAATCAATCCTGTGCCTCAAACACGAGAAGTCATGGAGGGGCATCAGTGTTTTACAAACACATCTTGTCTTTTGGTCAACACAGAGTCATGTGTCTGGAGAATGGACTGAACATGTCTAATTTTCATAGTTTTTTTTCCTAGATGGCCTTCAGCTTTGATATCTTTGTAAATGCAGATTGCATCATAAAGTTGGCAATGATTTTATATATTTTGTACGAAATTTACTTAAATTTTCTCCAACAACCATGGATTCAGAATTCTTGACTTCAGTATTATTCATCTATATTTCAAATGAATGGTTATTAAAAATAAACAGAATGCAGGAAATATATTAAAGACTTGATTTTATTTCAAACCAGTCCCTTACCATATAAAATAAAGCAGTCGTTTCTTTTATCTCAAATTTGTTAACATGTACATGTAATGCTCATATGTTTCCTATCTGCTATTACAGTGCCAACAATTAGAAAATGGTATCCAGACTAAAGGAATGTCATACCAGACTTTTAACTTTTTTTTTTCAGAAAATATAAGTATAATTCACTACTCTTGCATTTTTTTTAAATTTTCCATTCTGAGTCATAATTGCTTCGAATTCTATATTTTGCTATGAGTCAAGAAAAACGGGAGTAAAATATTAATGCAATGAAATTAAACATAAAATAATATGCATGACATACCATATATTTACAAACAATGAATTTTTAATTACATGAGATCAAGCACCACAATATTTCATCACATACACTACACTCATACACAAACAATTCCAAACATGTCACCCTCAGTTAAAGTGCCATTCCAAGAAATAAAATTTTTGCATACTGCACAGCAATTTTACTTTGAAATCGTCCGATTTTTTGTCTTTTTAAGCGTATACTTCCAGTGATAATTTGCTTGTATGGCAGAATCCTTTCAATAGTAATTCAAAATAACTTTACAATCATGGACAGAATTAATTACTCTGATTTGAATGCATGGTTCACTTTGAATTGTTTTAGCCAAAACCCATCAATTGTGCCAGGGACACAAGCATTTAAAATTCTTCTTAATGCATTAATGTAGTAAAATAAAATAGAGGAGATAACTCTGCAACAAATGTTCTATGCAGAAGGAAACCAAAGAAAGACAACCTAGTCTGTTAACAAAATCTCTGGATGTGAGAGGCAATGTTTATATTTAACACACAGAACTAGCGCGGTGCTAGCTGGTCGTGTCTGATGATGGAGTGTCCTTCTGTTCAAACTTCTGTAATCTTCTCCGCCGGATTTTATGCATCTCGTCTGTAAACTCTTCTTTGGCTGGATCCTCCCATTCTGGCATTTCTTCCTCCTTTGGGGGCGTGTACCCTGTAGCTCCCTCCAGGTCCTCATAACCTGTCAATCAAAGGTCAACAGTTCATCACCAAGTAAATTTAAGAGATCATTTTTATCTTATACAGTTATACAATGTGCATTTTCACTATATCTATACTATTTCCATACATGTATTTTAATACTTTTGTGTTTACTGACTACTGAACTTACTAAGGTCTGTCCCAGAGGGTTCTGTTTTTATTTCATTTTTAATTTTTGTCCTCACTCTTGGACTGTTCCTCCCGACTTTTATTTGTTGAGGATACATTTGTATTTATAACTGGAGTGCTGTAAGAAAAATTAATTACAAGGTAATTTAAAAAAAATGCTTACTTTCAATACCCGCCTACATTTTGCAAGCATTTAATTCAATTTAAATGGCAATTTTGCCATAAAATCTTTGTTTGATTCAAAGAAAAGTTCAATATGGTAATTGATGAATTGTTTTAATACCAGCGAGAAAAAGTAAATTATCCACAATTCCAGCTCTTGAAATAAAGTGTCCCAGCACAGAATCATAGGCCCGTCAAATATTGTTTAATAATCATGAAATTGTTATAGTGCAGGAAAATCAGATAACCTTGATTAAGGAAGCTCTAAACACTGACAGAAACTGTTGGTTTTTTTTGGACTCAGAGAAAAATATATCATAAAAAGAAGTGCATATTGAAACTTTTTCATTCATTTAGAACATAGGGTTCGTGCCTTATTTCTGCAGGAAAAATGTTCAAAGACAATGGACTATTTGTAAGCAGAAATCAGACGAGGCATGCCTGTAAAGAAGGGAAAATGTACATAAAAAGCAGAGGGTAAGTAGAGCACAATGCTCACCCGAGTCACCATTCTTTTCCTTACAAATGGTTATATGCACGTAATGATCAATAAAAACCTTGTTTTGTGATGTCCACTATTTCAATATATTAGAGTAACTGACAAGGCTTGAAGATGTCAACTTTATTATTTCACTGCTTCCTTGTTCTTGTCCTGGTCGTGTAAATGTCAAAATAGACATTCAAGTTACAGGGCATTCTGATCAACAGATAATTTTTCCTAAACTTTTTTGCTTTGTAAAAAAAACTATTTTCAGAATTTGGGTAGGGAGTTCAATGCTAGTTACAATCATATCAACAGTTTAAGTGCTTGATGTACAAGGGTGTTGTTTTAAAATAACTGAAAGTGCAGACTGGGTTTAGAATTTATATTTGCAGTTTCTGCTAAAAACAAATAAAGTCATAAGAATGGGAATAAAATACTTTGCATGATTAAAGTGTCAGTATTTTGAAAAAAATCTTGTGAAAATTTTGCATGTTTACGTCATTAATATTTTCTATTGAAAATACATTAAAAGTTGTAAAAACTTTCAAGACGCAAAATCTACAACAGAAATGGGTGTACGCTCAGGTTCAGAGCACTAAAATATTAAGTTTAGAATGAATGCATAAAAATATACAAAAACTTGGAGCATAGTGGCTTTTAGGATATTTAAATACCCACTACAGACCAAGAAGTAAAAAAAACACCTGACAGGTAGATATGTTATAA